CAGATCCCTGCCAGATCGCATATCTCCAGGGATGCACACACAAGAGGTACCGCAGCCAGGATGCACACACACACACACGAGGTACGCGCAAGGCAAGAAGAGACAAGACGGAAGCGGGAAACGGGAGGCGGGAGGAGGAGGAGGAGGAGGAGGAGGAGGAGGACTGGTGACCGCAGTGCTCTATTCAAAACGAATATCCAACCAAGGCGGGTTGGGGAAAAACCTGGGACTGAAGTTCGAGCAGCGCTACTCAGTCGATCGCGCGCACATCGATCCGCAGTCGAATCGTACCGAAACTCGCGTTGGCTGCGCTAGAACAGACCGGCGCGCACGACACCCTGGCGCGCGGGAGCCCAATCTGACTACCTACCAAACCACCCCAACCCAACCCAAAGACCCCGATTTCGGGTTTGGGGGGGTACGGGCTTCATATGTGTTATTTTCTCATGTTCCTCGGCCCCCCCACACTATAAATGGAGGGCAAATCGGGGCCTTCGGGTTGGGTTGGGGTGGCTTGGTGGGCGGTGATGATCTATTCACGCACGCATGAAAGCTGCCTGTTCTGTATAGAGAGCCACGCGCCAAACCCCAAAAGGCCTGGCTATATTTCCGCTTTTCTGGGGGAGGAATTCTACGAAGGGGGGTGGGGTGATTTTAGGCCGCGGCCTCCTCATGCGCGCGCAAAATATCATTTGACAGGGGTAGTGAACGGGTGGACATGGGCTGGGCTGGGATAGTATTGCGCATTTGATTCTCAAGATGAACGAGTGTGCATAATAATTACGCGGACAAACAATACCCCAAGGGTGAGATTAGCTCCCGCTCGGGAGGTGGTAGTGCTCAGGAGAATAATAAAGCTCCTTTTGTAATAACAAAACATGTGTACGCATGTATATATGTTTATATACATATGTGTTTATATACATATTTGTATATGTACATATATGTATATATACACCCTTTTCTACGTTCTCATACCCCAAGACCCTGCGACACCCCTTCCTTAACGGGACACCCCCAAATCCTTGGCCCTGGGGGCAACCTGGATGCCCTTGCAGACGGTCCCCTGTGCTCTCCAGGGCTCCTGAAGCCGCTGCTGGGCCCAGGAGGCGGACCCAAGTCGGTCAGGAGGGCGGCCGAACGGCCCCGCGAGAGCCCAGAGGTCCCAGACACCCACCAGACGCCCGAAGACGACCCAAAGAAGACCCCCAAGAGATATTCGAAACGCACAACATCATATTTGTTTGTTCTATGGCTTCGTGTGATTGTGGAAATGCTCTGTTCTTCGGCCTTCCGGGAGTCCGAGACCGCCCATGAGGACAGAGAATCGTCCCAAATTGAACCAAGAGGGCTTCCAGGCAGTCCAAGAGGAACCCAAGGCGGCCAAACCGGGCCCCAAGATGGCCCGAAGAGATCCCCATGACGGCCCAAAATGACCCCAAGACGCCCCCCCAATTATTCCAAACCGTGACCCGGTCGTTCAGGGAGGCCGCGGTTGAAGCAAGGTGGCCCGGGGAAGCGCCCGGAGGCCCCCAGACCTCCAGAAGCCCCCAACAAGCCCTTACAAACTTTCGTGAGGCCCCCAAGAGGCTCTCTTGGGATGACCTTCCACACAAGGAGCTGAGGATGGGAACGATTTCGCAGGGTAGGGAGAGAGTGAGCAAGACGAAACATTAAGTAAAGCCGGCGGATAACATGATTACAGCGACGATGTCGGACAAACACAACAACGGGTTATCTCTAATCATTGGGCTTTACAGTTTTACATTATTGCGCTCCTGTCTGCATACCGAATACCACGGACCAACATGCATGGCGCGAAGTGCCAATGCAGTCCTGATTGCATGTGTGTATGGATGTGTGTATGTGTATACATGTATGTATGTATGCATGTATGTATGTATGTGTGTCTGCATGTGTGTATGGATGAATGTATGCATGTATATATATACATGTAAGTAGGTATAGGCGTATGTACTTATATATATATATATATATATAGATATATAATGCATGTATGCATGTATGTATGTATGTGTGTACGTGTGTGCATGTATGTGTATGTATGTGTGGATGGATGTGTGATGATGTTACTAAGTACACATGTACGTAAACATGTATGTAACTGTGTATATGCATGCATGTGTGTATGCATATATGTGCTGATGTATTTATGTACGTAGGTGTGTATGTATATGTATGAATGAAAGGATGTATGTGTGTATGCAGGTATCGTTGTATGTGTGTATGCATGCATGCATGCACGAGTGTATTCGCATACTAGAACCACGCGCGCGCTTCGCGCGCGCTTAGGTTCTGTCGAGTCACAGACCCAGGAATCGTTGCGAGAAGAAATTGGTGACGCGAAGCGTCTTGGGGGCGTCCTTGGACGACTGGGGTCTCCTGGGGCCTCTTGAGGGGCCTCCTGGGGGCCTCCTGGCGGCCTCTTGGGGCGGAAGGCTCGAGCTTGCGGTTCGTGGTCCCCCTCTGGGCCCCCTCTTGGGCCCGTCTTGGGGCCCTCTTGGGCCATCTTGGGCGCCTCTTGGGCCGTCTTGGGGCCCTCTTGGGCTGTCCTGGGGCCCTCTGGGAAGCTTCTTGGGCCGTCTTGGGGCGGTCTTGGGCGCCTCTTGGGCCGTCCTGTAACGTCGGAAAGCCCAAAAGGCGACTTTGTTGAAAATGTACGTTTTACGAAGGGAATGGGCCAATTCTTGCGTCTAGGGGCCCTCTTGGGACGCATGTTGGAGGCTTCTTGGGGCCTCTTGGGGTTTGGGGCCTCCTGGGGGCCTCTGGCGGCCTCTTGGGGCGGAAGGCTCGAGCTTGCGGTTCGTGGTCCTCCTCTGGGCCCCCTCTTGGGCCCGTCTTGGGGCCCTCTTGGGCCATCTTGGGCGCCTCTTGGGCCGTCTTGGGGCCCTCTTGGGCTGTCCTGGGGCCCTCTTGGAAGCTTCTTGGGCCGTCTTGGGGCGGTCTTGGGCGCCTCTTGGGCCGTCCTGTAACGTCGGAAAGCCCAAAAGACAACTTTGTTGAAAATGTACGTTTTACGAAGGGAATGGGCCAATTTTTGCGTCTAGGGGCCCTCTTGGGACGCATGTTGGAGGCTTCTTGGGGCCTCTTGGGGGCGTCCTTGGACGTCTGGAGGCCATCTTCAGCATCTCGGAGCCCTCTTGGAGGCCTCTTGGAAGTTTCTTGGGCCGTCTTGGGCGCTTCTTGGGCCGTCTTGCCTGACTGGGGAGGCCTCCGGCAAGCCCCGACGAGCCTCCGGGCCCCCCGGGGTGCACATTTGCGGTCGAGGTCCCGGCCCCGGGCCCCCGGACCCGGTGCGCCGATATATGTATATGTATGTATACATATATGTGCATGCATGCACGTATTAACATATACATGGATATATAATTATGCATGTGTCCACAGACGTATATGTATATGTATATGTATAGATATATATATATATATATATATGATCCCGGGCTCCGGGCCCACGGGCCCCCCCCCAGATGGTATGGTCCCAGGATTCCTCGCCCCCCCCCAGATGGTATGGTCCCAGAGACGACGACGACGACGACTACGACGACGGCGACGACGACGACCACGACGACGACGACGGCTGCGGCGGCGACGACGCTGGCGGCAGCGGCGGCGATGACGACGTTGACGACGACGACGACGGCGACGACGACGATGACGACGACGAGGACGACGAGGACGACGAGGACGACGACGACGACGACCTCTGAACCACCACAGCACCACACCACATCCACAGGGGGGGGGGAGGGGGGCACCGCAGCGCAGCACCACGCCACGCCCACCTCTGAACCACCACAGCACCACACCACATCCACAGGGGGGGGAGGGGGGCACCGCAGCGCAGCACCACGCCACGCCCACAGGGGGGGGCGGGGGGGACCATCGCGCGGGGGGGGGGGGCCCAATGGCATCAGCATTGGGGGGGGGGACCCAAGCCCTGGACCATATATGTACATGGCTATGTGTATGTATCTGTGTATGTTCGAAATTGCCTCCCTCCCTCCCCTTTTTTAAAAACAAAAAAAACTATATATATATATATACATACATGTTCAGATGTATGCTGCGAGTTTGTGGTGACAAATATGCGACCGCCCACGGGGCGATACCGAGGCGTCGACGATCAGCCACGGGCCACGGGGTGCCCCCGAGGCGCCAGCGACGAGCCACCAGGCGAAACCTCAGCTGGACCGTCCAATGCCTTAGGTAACACACGTAAGAACCTCTAGATGCAAGCACTGATTAGGGAATCATGCAAAAGTAGCCTGGCGAAGGACCCAACCATATGCAGTTGTGAGTACCACGGCTGTGGATATCGCCTTCGGTGGAACTCCCTATGGGCCACGAAACGCTGTGCTGGGTGGGGGAGACGCGTGCGAACTTTGCCACTGGGGCCTTAGGTGGGGCTCCCAAATTATGGGCCACGAAAAGCTGTGCTGGGTTGGGTTGGGGAGACAGAGGCACGGATGGGAGGAAGGAGGCGGGGTAATTATGAGGATGATTGAGGAGACGCAGGGCGCTCTCTCTTCAGAACGAGGACCCAATACCACAGGATGGTTGGGAACAAAACGAATGTTGTTCCAAACCACCAGCGCCCGCTGTCGCGCAGTCGACATGCTGTCCCACATGGAGCATGCTCGCGGCGACACCGCCATAGCTAACCCTGCTCAAACTGGGCTGGAACTGCAATCGGTCTTCGCCGCAGTCTTTCCGCACCCAGATCTGGACGGGGAACGAAAGGCGGGTTGACCTCAGGGGGGATACTGGCTTGGACTCGGCCCTGCATCGCCGATGGACCGGCTGTAGGCCAGATAGCACGCCCGCCTGTCCCGGGCCGGGGGGGGGGGGGCACCTGTGCCCCGAGCGGCGAGGACTGGGCCATCCGCACCCGTGTGCGATGCCTCCCCTCTCCCAGGGCCAGTCGCGCCCCGTCGACGACCCCAAGCTTCGATCGCGAAGATCGGATCCCAGGGCACCGCGATCGACGGCGCCTGTCTGGCTGGCGGCGACGAACTCGGCGGCGTCGGCCACGTGCCTGGGGAGATCTGAGAATACCGGTGCCGCCACTCCCCTGAAACCCCTCCCGTGTCGCTGAGAGCCTCCCTAGGGGCCCTGGAGCCCACTCCCACTAGCGCCGCCTCTGGCGCCGCCCCTGGCGCGCTCCGCGCGCCAGGGAGGGGGGCCCAGCGCCGATGCGAGAAATCCAAGCGGAGCTCCGAAAAGTGTATCACAACAGATGCGCTTTGTCCCTCACTCGAATGCCGCCAGCCCCGCCGCGCGCGCCGCACGCGCGGCGCAATGGCCACCACGACGTCTGCGCGCTCCTGAGGGGGCGCCGGCGGGGAGCGCCGCTCGCATCTCGTGCAGCTGGCGGCGCGACAGCCGCGAACCGCTCGCCGCTCGCCGCCGTCGACGAGCTCTCGTCGAGCGCTCGGCGTCGCCGTCCGTCCTCTGCCCGCCTCCGGGTCATCACACCCCCTCCTCCCCCTCTTCCTCCCCCTCCTCCTCCCCCCCCTTACCTTCTCCTCCTCCTCCTCCTCCTCCTCCTCCTCCTCCTGTCCGTCCGTCCGTCCGCCCGCCCGTCCGTACTTCCGTCCGTCCGTACGTACGTCCGTCCGCCTCCCCATCCATCTTTACTCCCGCTCCCTTTTCTCCTCCTCCTGCTTCTGCTCCTGCCCGTGCTTGCTTCTCCCTCCCCCACAGGGGCAACATCTGTGTGCCGGTCACTGATTCTCATCTCCCTTCTGGTGTCGTACGGTGATGCCGCCAATGGGTGCCCCCTGGAGCGCCAAAATGAGGCGCCGAATAGGTGTGGGTTCCAACATGGCCCAGGTTGGTTCTAAGATGGCCCGAGAAGCACCCAAGACGCCCCAGGAGGCGTCCAAGAGGATTTCGAGACGCGCTGGAGACAGTTTTCGGACGATTTTGGCGGTACCACGCCTTTTCGGGCTGTTGACCGCCCTGGACGGCCCAAGAGTCAGGCTACCACGATCGCCCCAAGACAGCCCCAGAGACCCCCAGGACGGGCCCGAGACGGCCCAAAGAACCACAAGACGGCCCAAGAAGTTTTCCCAAAGGGCTCCCGAAGCTCCCGCGAGCGCCCTGTTCGGCCCGATATATATATATATATATATATATATATCGAGCCTCCCCCAAAAGCTCGCCCCCACGGCCGCCAGCAGGCGACCAGGAAGCTCTCACGATGGCCCAAGTTGGTCCCAAGACGGCCAGAGAAGCGCCCAAGACGCCCCAGGATGCGTCCAAGAGGACTTCGAGACGCCCCGGAGACACTAAAATCATTGATTTTGATGGTACTGCCTTTTCAGGCTGCCAACCGCCCTGGACAGCCCAAGAGGCTAGTTACCAAGATCGCTCAAAGACAGCGACCAAGATCGGCCCAGGACGGGCCAGACAAGCCTCTCCCCACTGGCGCCCGCAGGCCCCAAGCAGCTGCTACCGGAGCCCCTTGAGGCAATACGCTCCAGCCTGCTTTGTTTCACAGCCGACTGGGACCAGTGCGAGCACCACCATTTGGACCCGACAGAGATTTCTCCCACACGGCTCATTGGTTTAAGAATGCCAACTCTTGCTGTTTGCCTACTCAGCGCTGGCAACAACGGACAGTGCTCTCACCCCACGGGCTCCCACATGGTCCTCAAAGGCAAGACCTCCCAAAAAGGGGCTTCAGAACAAGTCGGAAGAAACCCTACCCACCCAATATGTGTCGATACATCGCAAAGGCTCTCGGAATCTATAAGAGCTCCGTGTGCCGACATCAACGAGGGTGCTGTGATGGCCGAGGAAAGTGACCCTGACTTGGCGCAGGGATTCTGTGATTTCTACGTCAGAGAAGTGGGTAACGAATTCATGAAGCACCTGACTTGCGTACGCGAAGGAACAAGGAACGAGATGCGACACCGAGCATTATGTGGGTCTAGACATCGGATCCCGCTCCGACTCCGACTCCTACCCCTGCTTGAAACTTCTGCGGCTCGTGAACCGACCCTGGCTCCCGAGGGCACCCCTTCTCTGGTTTCGCTGGACCTGGGCGAAGAACACGAGATCGAGGATTTCCTGGGCCCCTCCCCTCCCCCTCCCTCGCCGCTGCCTCCCTCTCCTCCCCCTCCGCCTCCCTGCCTCTCTGTTGAGCAGCTTGCGCGAATTGCTGCCCACTGGAGGGAGGCCAGGCTGAGACGGGAGGCCAACCACGCGCCGCCAATCATCGGCAACGTGCAGTCTGGCAAGGCGTTCCTGCCAATGACTTCAGCCTCCCGCAGGAGGCCGGCTTCTCTCTCTTCATGCCTGCCTCTCTTGAACACGTTGCCCATGTTCGGCGGCGAGCGAGGGGGGGGAAGTGAGAAGGAGAAGGCCTTCTCAGAAGGTTTTTAAGCCCCCTGGCCTTCAGAGAAGTCTTCGGAGCCTCCCCCGAAGGCAAACAAAAACTTCTCACAAGGCGCGAGGGCTTCTGAGAGTCCCGCTCCTTTTCCATTCTCCCCCTCGCTCGCCGCCGACAGGTCGGCGCCCCACCACCACCACCCTACGGTAGTTTCGTGCGGCGTCGGCGCGCGCAGAGGTTCTCGACACCGCGTCTATCGTTCAACCTTGAACCGATCATGGCCCGGATCGTTCAAGGCTGAATTCCGCCGGGTCCCATGGCATCAACGTGTCCCTGGGAACTTCCGCGTCGCAGAATTCAGCCGTGAACGCCCCTGACGGTGTCGCAGGCGCGCCATCGCCTTCATCAGCGGCCCGTGCCCCGTCGGCCTCCCCGCCCGCGACGGCCAGGCGGCGGCGGGGGCCCCGCGCGTGCGCGCCCGAAGCGGGCGGCGCGAGGAGAGGCGCCCGCCGCCTCGCTGCCGCGGCCGCGGCCTCGGCCGCGGGTTTGGGCTTCGTGGGCCCTGGAAAACGGCAGGGCCGTTGTTTCCACCGTGTCTTGGCGAGCCTGCTTTCCACCACCACCACCACAAGCTGGAGGGGGAGGGGGTCCTCCTCATCTTCCGCCCTCCTCCCTCCTCCCTCCTCCCTCCTCCCTCCTCCCTCCCTCCTCCCTCCTCCCTCCTCCCCTCCTCCCTCCTCCCTCCTCCCTCCCTCCCCCCTCCTCCTCCTCCTCCTCCTCCTCCTTCCTCCTCCTCCTCCTCCTCTCCTCCTCCTCCTCCTCCTCCTCCTCCTCCTCCTCCTCCTCCCCCTCCCCCTCCTCCTCCCCCTCCTCGTCCTTCTCCTCCTCCTCCTCCTCCTCCTCCTCCTCCTCCTCCTTCTCCTCCTCCTCCTCCTCCTCCTTCTCCTCCTCCTCCTCCTCCTGAACGTACCGTGCCAGTGCATCGCACGGACGCCGCCGTCGACCGCCCATCCTGCGCGGGCAGCGCGCCGAGGCCGCGCACCGCCTCCGCCACGAGCTCGCAGCGCCGGCGGTGCCCCAGGGCGTGGAAGCCTCGCGGCCAGGAGCGCGCACGCGCGGGAGGCGCCGACGACGACGACGACGACGCCGACGCCGTCGCCAACGCCGACGACGCCGACAACGCTGACGACGACAACGCCGACGCCGACGCCGACGCCGACGCCGACGCCGACGCCGACGCCGACGCCGACGACGACGACGACGACAACGCCGACGCCGACGACGCCGACGCCGACGACGACGACAACGCCGAAGCCGTGGCTGCAACGGCGGCGGCGGCGGCGCGCGATGACAACGACGATGAACAGGGCGGCATGCCTCGTCGTCGTTGTCGTCGTGGTCCTGCCTCGTCGTCGTCGCCCTCGTCGCTACCCGCCCCCGGCTGAGATCGGCGGCGAATTTTTGGGGGAAGTGAAGAGGGGACAGGCCCTCTCAGAAGGCGGCGGGGCTTCTCAACACCCCTCGCGCCTTAGGACAATTCGCAGAAACTACTTAGAACACACTTAGGACAATCCCAGGAACAATTATTAGAAAAATACCTGTGAAGCCGTCCCCTTCTTAGGACAATTCGTAGGAAGTTCCCCAACAAGCGCGAAAGTGTCTGAGATGCCCTCACCCCTCTGAGAAGGCTCGCCCACTCCCGCCCCCCCGCGGGCCAGTTAGTCGCCGACTTCGGCTGGGGGCGGGCAGCGACGAGGGCTACAACGACAGCGGAGTTTCCCTATATCCTCATAGAGCAAGCGACACCAATGCCGCTACACTCCAGTCGTCGCGCCACGGCAGGATTCTCCTCCAGATTCTGGTCGTAAAGCAGTCTGGGCGACGTCGACGACATGTCTTCGTCTCCTCCTCCGTCTCCTCCTCCTCCCCCTCCTCCCCCTCCTCCCCCTTCTCCTCCTCCTCCTCCGCCTCCTCCTCTTCTTCTTAGTATTATTATTCTTAGTATTACTATTATTATTATGCTTATTCTTCTTATTCGTCTTCTTCCTCTTATTATTCTTCTTATTCGTATTATTCTTAGTATTCTTATTATTATTAGTAGTATGTATATTCGTCTTCTTCTTCTTATTATTATTGTTCTTCTTCTTCATCCTCCTCCTACTCCTCCTCCTCCTCCTCCCGTCGGCGGTTGGAACATGGGGCCCTGAGGAATGTGGCCCTGGGGACGAGTTGCCTCAGATGGTGAAGGTTGACGTCGGGGCCCCTCCCTATACTCAGGGCCCCAACCCTGAGGCTACCGCCTTCTCCTCCTCCTCCTCCTCCTCCTCCTCCCCTTTTCCTCCTTTTCCTTTCCCTCATCCTTCTCGTCCTCCTCCTCCTCCTGCCACTTCCCCCCGTCTGTGACCGATCGCTACAAAACGCTGTTTCTCCCACAAGGCATGGAAGGAGCATAACGGGTGAAACCAAACATGCGCTAACATGTGCGAGCTCGGTAGGCGATCGTCTTTTTTGAGCCAGTTTCGGCCCATAGACTGGGCATGGACAAGGAGGACACGGTCACGGGCTTCTGCTTGCAGCCGTTCCGTCAGTGACGGCGTTCTCAAACTGCCACGGGTTAGCTGAGGTCCGCACCTGCTCCTGGCAAGATGCTTGACGAGGTGTAGACGACTAGAGTGCACATGCCGGCACACCAGGCAAGTGGACGCACCACCCACGTACTCGTTAAATGACCTGCGCTTCTTACGTGCCGGCGCCTGGTGCGATGCGAGCGCACAGTCATTTGCAAATGAGACATGGCACAGCTCGCACTCAAAAGGTTGGGGCGGGGCGGCGCCGCAGTTGGCAGAGGGGATCGGCGATATACTCGAAGAAAAAACAACGATACGCGATCATCCCATATGGCACAAGCCACTTGCTCGCACTAAGGCTCGGCGCAAACAGCTGGATCAGGAAGGTTACAGAAAGCGGGCGCGCATGTATGTTCCCAAAGCCAGGCGAGATCGCTGATGAAAAAATCGACCCACGGCACGTGTTTCACTTGGCCACGTCTCTGTACGGACATCGAATTGGCCTGGGGTCTATCGCCCAGAAGGGCAAAGAGAGCGGCAGGCCTGTTTCTTGCAAGCCGGGCATCGTACCTGAGCCTAGCGCGCCGCAGAATGTAATCGATCGACGACTGCTGCAAACGACGTCGGGGTTCAAGGTCAGAAAATTCTGGTTTCCTGTGCCGACTGTCGACGCACATCTTCCTCAGCACTCGCATGTAGGGGCTTTGGAGAGTGCGCACGTATCCTCTGGTCGGCACCACAATGTAAACATAATGCAAGAGACGGCTACGAACCAACGGTTACAACAGGGAGAACTTTAGCCAGTCGCATACGACGGCGCTCCCAAAGACTCGGTGGGCGATGGGGCCGAACGAACGAGGGGCCTGTTGGGCCGTGCGCCTCGCGTCGGCCCTCAACCCCCGATCGATCTAAACGATTCCGCCCAGATTCTTATACCGATCAATGAGAAATAATGTTTGGGCCGGGAGGCTGTTCACAGAAGGGGCGGGGAGGTACCGGCCGTCGGGGTGGATGAGAGCGCGAAGCATGCGCCCCGCCCCATACCCCATAAAGTGCACCATTCCTTCCGTCTTCCCTAGCTTCCAACTAGTATGGAGCCCGAAATCCGAAAATATAGTAGCCAGCGCAGCTACAACTGTGTCCATGGCAGCGCGCAGTCGCGCAGCAGTAGGGGCCATGGTCACCAATGCACTCGTCGTCAACAAATGCAGCCTCAATAACTGTCTGGGGGGAATGCCCTGGTGACGCCTGCTTACCCCAGAACCTCCTCGGAACTTCGTTTGAAAAGCACGCCCCCGAAGAAATACGCAACCGAATGGCAAACCCGGCCCGCTCCATCCACCGGCGAACAAGCAGCGACGGTAAAACACACGCAGCGTGGAAGATCGTCGCCCCTACCTTGCAGCCCTGGCAGCCACCAAATCCGTGCCGCACAACGGACTCGAGCTCTCCCATCGAACACGAGGAACCGTCATGGAGAGTCGACAAGAAGCGATCGTGGCACTGTCAACGGCCCACTGGCGAAGGATCTGTCCATGTTTCTCGATGTGTTCGTAAATGTGGTTGGCGGCATGCTCAAGGATGTCCCTGGCACGTAGGTGTTCGACTCGGCTCCCGCAGTCGGCAGAGACACAATGAGGCCACCCCAACACGAGTTCTCGACAGATCTTGTCGAACGCCTTCGACAACTCGGCGAACAATACGAAAATCGAGCATGATATGAGCACGGTCGATCAAAGAACGGAACCACATACTGCAACATGCTCCATGTTTCGGCCCTGATCCACGGCTGCCTCGGGGAATCTGGGGTGGAGCCGAATGCGAACAACGCACAAGTCAGGATGTACTCGTTTAGCTCCTTGCAGTGCTCTGCAATCGAAGCATTGGGGCAAGGCTCGAAATGCCACATGAGCTCGTGGAAACACTGCACTCAACAAGGGTCGGCCATGCACCACTTGCAAATATTTGGAGATTTGGGCTTCTTCGGTTGCTGGGGCGTGTCCGGGTGCGGAAACAAGAGCACGGTAGCAGACACCAAATAGTGGTCGATCCAACCTGCGAACGTGAGATCCAGGTCGCGGCGGACCCTGAAATCCGATACACCCTGCCGCGCCGTACGAGTGGACAGACTGTAGTCGATTCGGTACTGGTTGCCTGAGCTCCCATGGCGCCAGGTCGGGCCAGCATTGTAGAAAGTGTTGACCGCGAACAATTCGTTCATTTCAAGCACACTCCTCAGTACGAAGCCGTCCATGTTCGCGACGGCGACCTCGCGATTGCCTACGTATTGCGAGGGAACGCTGCCCAGGCGAGCATTGCCATCCACGAAGATGATGACCTCGAAGGTGGCATGATTGGCACGAACCTTGTGGATAAGGGTTTGCGTCTTATCGAAATAGGAGGATATGGTGGTGTCGTCGCTGGCCTCGGTCGGGGCGTGAGCGGAGCTGAAAATCGCAGCAGCGCCGTTTGGAAACGCAACGGCCGCCCACATAAGTCGCGCGTCGGCGACATTCCATGCACGGAGACTTGCCTGGGCATCCTGGGCGAGCCAAATTTGAACACCAGCTTGGTCACCATCACCAGTGGCGCAAAGCATGATGGAATGGACTCCGTCCTTCCGGCCGAGGGTCAAGGCCCGTCCCTCTTGAAGCCCGAGAACAGACAAGCATGCATGATGAAATTGGAGATCAAGGAGCTGCATGTTGGAAGAAGCAGGTCATCGCCACCCAGCGTACCAGGCGGCCCAAGCCCAAAAGGACTCCAGGACGCCCAAAGACAAGAGGCACGCAGGGGGCCCAAAGAGGCCCCCAAGAGTCGCAAAAGAGGCCCTACGATGCCCTGAAACGGCCCCCAAGTGGGGTCCAAATTGCCTCCCAAGAGGCCCGGGAATGGCCTCCCACGAGATCCCAACAAACACCCAATAGGATTCACACCCACAACCCAGGCACGGTGGCGGGATGGGCCGGAGGCCATGAGACCTGCTTGGCACGGGGACGGAACGCGCACTTACTTTCAGAGCGCGGGATGTCGCTGGCTTGGCCGTTCTTTCTCTGTCTCCCCGTATGGAGGCTCTCTTGGGGCATCTTGGTGGCATATTGGGCGCCCTCTAGGGCTATCTCGAAGCTGCGGGAGGCCTCTTGAAGGGGAACCAGGACGTGCTGGTATCTGGCACTAGAGCGCGATAAAACACGAATGAAGATGTTGATCATACTGTTGATGATGATAACGACGACATACTGCCTCTTGGGAACATCTTGGGCGTCTCCCAGGCCATCCTTGGGCCGTCCAGTGGCTCTCTTAGGCCCTCTTGGGGCCCTTCTGGGCCGTCCTCAGGCTCTCTTGGGAGCCTCTCGCGCCGTCATGGCACAATCTCGGGGGGCCCTGGAGCTGTATCGGGCCGTTCTGGCCCGAAAAGGGGAGGAGCTGGAACACCTTCATACACCTAAAGGCACCAATAGTTGATTATCTTGCACAAGGTGTCCAAAACTCCGACCATTTCATTCCGCGTCGCACTCCCACCCCAAGCCCGACCGCGTCCCCAGCTCCAGAGTGGGACCCCCGCGCGGGGGCTCTCTGCCCCGAGCTCCCCCGCGTCCCCAGCGGGAGCCCCGCCCACTACCCCCTTCCGCCACGAACGCTTTACTCCGCGTCGCACCCCTCCCTTCCCCCCCGCCCCCAGCGCCAAACGGAGTGGGACCCCCGCGCTCTCTGCCCCGAGCCCCCCCGCGCCAGCGCCCCAGCGGGAGCCCCGCCCACTGCCCCCTCCGCCAAAAACGGTTTGTTCCGTGTCGCGACGCACCCCCCTCCCCCCTGCCCCGCGCCCCCAGCGCCAGAGTGGGACCCCCGCACCGTGGTTCTCTGCCCGAGCCACCCCGCGCCCCCAGCGCCCCAGCGGGAGCCCCGCCCACTGCCCCCTTCGCCACTAACGCTTTATTCCGCGTCGCCCCCCCCCCCCCCCCCCGCGTCCCCAGCGCCAGAGTGGGACCCCCGCGCTAATTGCCCCGAGCCCCCCCGCGCCCCCAGCGCCCCAGCGGGAGCCACACCCGCTGCCCCCTCCGCCACGAACGGTTTATTCCGCGTCGGGACGCACACCATTTCCCCCACCTCCCTCCCCGCGTCCCCAGCGCCCCAGTAGGGGCTCCGCCCCGTGACGCACACCACCTCCCCCACCCTCCACCCCCCCGCGTCCCCAGCGCCCCGGTGGGGGCCCAGCCCCAGTCACCCCGAGCCCCCCCGCGCCCCCAGCGCTCCAGTAGGAGCCCCGCCCACAGCCCCTCCGCCACGAACGCTTTCTTTCGCGTCGCGACGCACGCCACCTTCTCCGATTTCTCGCGCCCTGTATCCCTTCCCCGTCCACCCCCTTCACCTCCTCATCCTTCCCCCTCCCTTCTGTGCTAGAGCCATGGCGCGCGCGCGCCACTTGTTCGTCCTTCAGCACTTCTGGGGGTCCTCTCGGGTGCCGCTGGGGGTGTCTTGGAGGCCTCTTGGGATGTGCTGAGGCCATGTTGGGCTATCGTGGATCGCTCTTGGGCCGTCTTCGGTCCCGTCTGGGCCTCTCTCACGCTGTCTTGGAGGTGCCTTAAGCTGGCGAAGAGCTTATGCAGGTAGGGCGGGGCCAAGGGCGCCCCCCTGGGCGGCGAAAGCCATGCTTTCGTTTTTGTTCCCGCTTAGACCGCCCATCGGTGCTCGGGGGGGGGGATCTTGGAGACCTCTTGAGCCGTATTGCAGCCGTCGTGGGCTATCTGGATCGCTCTTGGGCCGTCCTCGGGCCCGTCTGGGCCTCTCTACGCCGTCATGGAGGCAGTTGAAGCCGTCTGCATACGTGCAGATCTTCGAACACGTCTTGGGGCCGTCTTAGGGGTATCTTGGGCCATCTTGGGGCGATCTTACGGGCCTCTGGCCTCTTGGGTCGTCTTGGAGGCATCTTTGACCACCTTGGAGAACGCTTGGCCTCTCATGGGCTGTCTTGAAGGTACCTCAAGTTGACGAGGACTTAACGCGCTTTCTCGAAGCCTACGCGGAGCTTACGTTGCCGCCCGTTTCGGGCACTGGTGTCAAGAACTGGTTACGTCACTGCTCTCTGTTGGGAGCCTTGGTCTTATCAGCTTGTTTACGTCACTGCTCGCTCTTGGGAGACGCGGTGTTCAGGGTCCGTTAACGGTCCGTTGACAAAAAACGCTTTTCCCAGTTACCGGTCCGTTAACAGGGAAAACGCGTCCGTCACCCGATGTTCCATGTTGAGCCCGAGCGTACAACCCTGTTTTTCAGGTAAAAGACCCGATTGTCCCTGATAAGGGCTCCGTTGACAAAGAAAAATGTGCCCGAGCGAAAAATGTCCCTCTCAACGGTCCGTTAACAAGGAAACAGGCGGGCCAAACATTTCCCGGTTAACTGTCCGTTAACAAGGAAACTGGCGGGCCAGAAAAACACTTATCGGGGATGGACAGACCCCCCTTTAGTAAAACGTGGTTTAGTCAAACCGACCTGAGGCCCAAACCTGGCGGGCGCAAGCCTGGAAAATAATGGCCACGGCGCCATCTCGAGAACCGAAAACGGACAGATCACTAATCGACGTGTCACTGTTGGGGGTTCTGTCCACCCCCGAACTTAATGTTCCATGTGAAGGACCCTGTTAATAGGGAAAAGCATGGGAGAAAAGGCGGGCCATTGGACACCGCAATGCAGCCGCACTGCAAAGTCCCCCCCCTCACACTCCCCCTAATCAACTCCTTCCGGCTAACGGATCGCACGCAACGCGCGCTTTCCGTCGTCCGCCACCCCCTGTCGATTCATCGCAGAGGCGCCTGGCGTGCTGAATCCTTTCGGTTTGGGTTGTGTTTCCAAGAGGCCTCCAAGAAGACCTCCAGGAGGGCCCGAAGATGCCCAAACCATTGATTTCCCTTAGATGTTTGAAGGAAATTGGCATGTGCTTCTTTTCGGCATTCCGACGGTCCAAGAGCCCCCAAAGATCGCCCCAAGATCGCCCAAGAGGTCTCCAAGATGGCCCCTAAGATGCCCCCAAGAGGGCCACAACACGGCCCAAGAGGCCTCCAAGACGCCCAAAATGCCTCCAAGACGGCCAAGATGGCCCCAAGATGCTTCCAACACGGCCCAAGATGCATCCAAGACTGCCTGAGAGGGCCTCCAGATGGCCTAAGACGGCCCAAGAGGCCCCCAAGAGGCCTCCAAGACGGCCCCAGAGGCCTCCAAGAAGACCTCCAGGAGGGCCCGAAGATGCCCAAACCATTGATTTCCCTTAGATGTTTGAAGGAAATTTGCATGTGCCTCTTTTCGGCATTCCGACGGTCCAAGAGCCTCCACGGATCGCCCCAAGATCGCCCAAGAGGTCTCCAAGATGGCCCCTAAGATGCCCCCAAGAGGGCCACAACACGGCCCAAGAGGCCTCCAAGACGCCCAAAATGCCTCCAAGACGGCCAAGATGGCCCCAAGATGCTTCCAACACGGCCCAAGATGCATCCAAGACTGCCTGAGATGGCCTCCAGATGGCCTAAGACGGCCCAAGAAGCCCCCAAGAGGCCTCCAAGACGGCCCCAGAGGCCTCCGAGAGGACCTCCAGGAGGGCCCGAAGATGCCCAAATCATTGATTTCCCTTAGATGTTTGAAGGAATTTGGCATGTATTTTGTTTGGCATTCCGACGGCTCAAGACGGCCCACGAGGTCCACAAGACGGCCCACGAGGCCGCCAAGATGACCCCATGACGGCCCAAGGGGCCCCCAAGACGGCCCCAAGCGGCCCCCAAGACTGCCAAAATGGCCTCCAAGACGGCTAAGATGGCCCCAAGATGCCTCCAAGACGGCGCAAGATGCACCGAAGACGGTCTAAGATGGTCTCAAGATGGCTCAAGACGGCCCAAGAGCCCCCCAAGAGGCCTCCAAGACGGCCTAAAAGGCATTTAAGAGGTCCTCCAGGAGGGCCCGAAGAGGCCAAACTCGTTAATTGTCCTTCGGTTATTCAAAGATTGTGGCATTCGCTTCTTCTCGGTATTCCGACGGCTCAAGACGGCGCGAGCGGCCCCCAAGATCGCCCAAGAGGTCTCCAAGATGGCCCCATGACGGCCCCAAAGGCCCCCGAGACGGCCCCAAGAGGGCCCCAAAACGCCCAAAAGGCATCCAAGACGCCCAAGATGGCCTCCAAGAACCCCTGATATGCCCCAAGAGGGCCCCAAGACGACACAGACAGGCCCCCAAGACGGCTTCCGACGGCGTCAGAAAGGCCAGGAACGCCCTAAGACGGCCAAAGAGGCCCTCAAGAAGCCCCCCCAAACCCAGAAACACCCTCCAAAAGGCCCCCTGGAAGCTCCCAGGAGGCCCCAAGAGTGCCTCACGAGGCGCCCAAGAGGCCTCCTCCTCCGCCTCCTCCTTCTCCTCCTCTTTTGTCCTCATCCTCCCCCTCCTCCTCTTCTTGCTCCCCCATGCGTTCCCCGAAGTCTCCCAAACCGACTCGGGGAACAACTGGCCCGATAGCATGGCCAAGCTCTGGCCCAGCTGCCGGCCACAGAGGCGCTTCCAAAGGGGCAGGGGGCGGCGGTGATTCGCCCTAGGCATCTTCGATCCGCCGCCCCCCTGTCGATTCATCGCAGGGGTGCCTGGCGTGCTGAATCCTTTCGGTTTTGGTTTTGGTTCTTTTTTCCAAAAGAAGGCCCCCAGGGGCTTCGGCCCGTCCCGCCAGCCACCCGGTGAGGACCTCAATCCCCAAGTGTTCGCTCAAGATGGCCTCCAAGATGCCTCCAAGACGCCCAAGATGGCCTCCATGACGGCTAAGATGGCCCCACAATGCTTCCAAGACGGCCCAAGATGCACCCAAAACGGCCTAAGATAGCCTCAAGATGGCCCAAGACGGCCCAAGAGCTCCCTAAGAGGTCTCCAAGACAGTCCAAGAGGCCTCCAAGAGGTCCTCCAGGAAGGCCCGAAGAGGCCTCACTCATTAATTTTCCTTAGGCTGTTGAAGGATTTTGGCATGTTCGCCTTTTCAGCCTTCCGACGGTCCAAGAGCCCCCCAAGATTGGCCAAGCTCTGGCCCAGCTGTCGGCCACAGAGGCGCTTCCAAAGGGGCAGGGGGCGGCGGTGATTCGCCGTAGGCGTCTTCGATCCGCCGTCCCCCTGTCGATTCATCACAAGGGTGCCTGGCGTGCTAGATCCTTTCGGTTTTGGTTTTGGTTCTTTTTTCAAAAGAACTCTCCCTGGGACTCCGGCCCAACCCGCCAGGGTCCCGGAAAGGCCCGGAAAGCCCCACCAGAGGTGGTTGCAAACGGTTTTCCTGGCCCAGACGCCTCGATGGCCTCCAAAATGCTTCCAAGACGGCCAAGAAGGCCTCCAAGATGGCGAAGACTACCCCAAGATGCACCCAAGACGGCCCCAGATGGCCTGAAGATGGCCTTCGACTGCCCAAAAGGCCCGCCAGAGGCCTCCAAGACGGCCAAAGACCCCTCCAAGACGTCCTCAAGGAGGCCCGAAAGCTCGGAAACCACCTGGTCCGATAGCTCGCCCGACTCCGTGTTCTCCGAAGGTTTTTGAAACCCACTCGGGAAACCCGCTCAAACCCAACTTTCGGCCACGCAGGCGCTTCCAAAAAGGCAGGGGGCGGCGGTGATTCGCCCTAGGAGTCTTCGATAAAAGCTGCATGCAACAATCGATGGTCCCTAATACGAACTCCATTGGGGTTCTGTGCGTCCTAACAAAGTCAGTGGGCTTCGGGGTCAAAGAGGACATGTGTAAAATGACAAGTTCGGAAACCCCTCAAACCAAATACACGCCATGTCATGTTCATCTTGTTCCATCCTCTCTTCCTCTCCCTCTCTCTCTCTCTTCTCTCTCTCTCTCTCTCTCTCCTACTCAACCTCCTCCTCCTCCTCCTCCTCCTATTCCTCCTCCTCCTCCTCCCAATAAGCGAAAACCATAAGAAAACACAAGCACAGCAACCACAACAACAACAACACATCCAGGGAAACTTTCTGGAGGGACAGTGCGGGGGAGCGCAGTGTCCCTCACTATTGCGTTGTTGGCTTGGTTTTCTTACTTTGTGTTGACTGGTTCCCCCCGTTCGCCGAGGGGGCCCAGGAGGGGACCCAGGAGGGGATCCAGGAGAGAACCCAGGACGGGACCTCCCTCTCTCTCTATCTCTCTCCCTATCTCTCACCCTCTCTGTCTCTATGTATGCCTCCCTCTCATTATTCGCTCGTTCTGTATTTTTGGATGTCAATATTCCTTCGTATATTTTTTGTGTGTTATATATATATATATGTATAGATCGTTCTCTCTCCCTCTCTCTCTCTCTCTCTCCCCTTCTCTCTCTCTCTCTCTCTCTTTCTCTCTTTCTCTGTATATGATATGCTATCCTCTTGCCCTCCCCCTGTCTCTCCATATTTGACCCCTCACTCTCCAACTGCCCTGCTTGCCTTACTCATCTTTGTGTGGCTGTCGTCTCCCGTCCTCTTTCTGCTTGCCTTCCCCTGCCTTCCGTTGCGTCCTCAACCCTCGTCCACAGCATGGTCTCATTGTCCATCATTCCTCTCTCTCCACCTCGTGTGTTCATTTCTCCTGCGTCACTCTGCATTCGACCGTTCTGCTTCCCTCTCCTTGTCGTGCTCGCGCGTGCGTGCGCAGACACAGTGCAGGACGTCCTCCTTTCCATTCGCGCGTTCTTCTCCTTGTTCTCCACCTCCACCTCCTCCTCCTCCTCCTCCTCCTCCTTGTGACGGTCTGAAGCCGAAATCTTCTCCTCCTCCTCCTCCTCTTTCTCCTTCTCCACCTCCTCCTCCTCCGAGGCCAATTCCCGAGGCCGAAATCGACGAACAACGTTTCCAAAATGTTTGGGAATCTCGAGTGCTCACGGCGGCCCAAGCAGCCCCCATGATGGCCACCAGACGGCCCAAGAGGGCATCGAGACGGCCCAAGAGTGTCCCAAGATGGCCCAAACAGGCTCCCATCATGGTCTCAGAAGCCCTCAAGACAGCCCAACAGGACACCAACAGGGTCCCTGAGGCCGCCCCAAGGGCCCTCCAAGGCGGCCTCGCACGGGCCAATGGGCGCGAGAACGCTCTAAGACGGCCAACGATGATATGGAGGATGGAGGACTAGGAGGCACGATAGGTTAGCAGATTGGAGGATATGAGGGGGAGAAGGCAGGATAGGTACGAGTCAGGATGGAAGGAGGAACGGATGAATGGACACACCGACTGGAGGGGGTGCAGCTCCTATTCGACACATCCTCTGAAGGTTTCCCTCCTGACGCTCCTTTTTGTTACTCCTCATTTCGCCGCATCCTCCACTCCCTCATCTTCTCCTGCTCGGTTGTCTTGCCGAGAATCTTCGGCCCAGTCGCCAGCGCGCCTGGGTTGTGGGTCACGGGGGCGCTTGAGAGGCAGTTTTGAAGCCTCTTGGGCGCTGTTTTGAAGCCTCTTGGGGCGTCTTGGGGGGCTCTCGGGGGCCTCTTCGGGCCTTTGGGGGACTCCTCGGAGCATCTTGGGGCGGACAACTCGACTTGTTAGCTCGGGCTCCTGGTCTTGGGCCACTTTGGGGGCCGTCTTTGGGCTCTCTTGGGCCGTCTTGGGGCTCTCCTGGGCTGCCTTGGGGCGCTCTTGGGAATCTCTTGGGCTGTCTTGGGGCGGTTTTGGGGGTTTCATGGGCCGTCTTCAACGCCGTGAGGGCAGAAAAGCCATATAGTCTTAAAATACACGTATTCCAATGAGAATCCGCCGGCCCCCTTGTGGGGCCACCAGGCTGTAGGACCAGGGTGTGCTGTTCCCTGCGCTGCGCCAGTTCCAGTTTCCAGTTTCCACTGTTACAGTTCTGCTTCTTTTGCTTACTGTTCCTTGATGTAGACCGCGCGAGGGGGGAGCCGAAAACCGATCTGGTTAGCACATCCAGGGAGGGGTCTCAGAGTTTCTGGGGGGGTCGAAACTGACACCCATCACGCAGATCGGCGGGGTCAGGGTCCAAAAGAAAATAGGATTTGCCACATTTCTGAAATTTGGTGGCACTCCACACGTAGATCGGCGGGGTCAGGGTCCAAAAACCAATGCGATTTGCCACATGCAGATCGGCAACACCTCTCACGTAGATCGGCGGGATCACGGTCGGAAAACCCAACACCCCTCACGCATATCGACGGGGTCAGGGTCGGAAAACCCATGCGATTTACCACATTTCTGAAATTTGGTAGCACCCCTCACGCAGATCGCTGGGGCCAGGGTCGAAAAACCCATGCGATTTGCTACATGTCTGAAATTCGGTAACACCCCTCACGCAAATCGCTGGGGTCAGGGCCAAAAACACATGGGATTTGCCATATTTCTGAAATTCGGTGGCACCCCTCATGCAGATCGCCGGGTTCAGGGTCCAAAGAAAACATCGGATTTGCCAAATTATTTTGAAATTCGGCGGCACCCCTCACGCAGATCGGCGGGGTCAGGGTCGAAAAACACATGGGATTTGCCACATGTCTAAGAATTCGGCGGCGCCTCTCACGCAGATCGGCGGGGTCAGGATCCAAAAACACATGGGATGTGTTCCATTTGTGAGAATCGGTGGCACTTTTCATGCAGATCGGCGGGGTCAGGGTCCAAAAACACAAGGAATTTGCCACATACAGATCGGCGGGGTCAGGGTCGACACCACACATGGGATTTGCCACATGTCTTGTAATTCGGTGGCACCCCTCACGCACGTTGGGGGGGTCAGCGTCAAAAAACACATGGTTTTGCAACATTATCATACTTCGTAGAAAAGCTTTTTGCAGAGCATACGCGAGCAAGCTCGAAATACAACACCGAATTCAACAATATCATCAGAATCTCAATTTGTCTTGCCGATTACTCATCGAATTGGCGTGAAGTCCCGACAGTGCTTCACGGCGGCGCCAAAGCCTCATGATTTCGCTCTTGCATTGCCCATTATCCGAGAGAGGGGGCCGGCGGCAAGGGGCGAAGCCCTTACGGATAATAAAACATGTATGGCGTGTTGGGGCGCTCATGGAATGGAAATCTCTCGACGCGTATTGGGCGGTCTCTTAGCTCGTCTTGAGGCCATCTTGGGCGTCTTGGAGCGATTCTTCAACGATTCGGATCCCTCTTGGGCCAGCGTGACGGTTTTTGAGCCCCTCCTGGCGCGTCGTGGAAGGACCCAAGTGCCCTGCCACCGGCATCGAGATCCAAAGTTTGCCCGTAAGGCCCAGTGCCCTGGACCCAAGGCACCCGGTACATGTGTAGATTCAAACATATATATATATATATGTACATACATACGTATATATAGGTCATGTGTGTATGTATATATATATACACATATAGACATATGTGTAGAACGATGAAACAATGTGTGCATTTTCTGTAAGGAGTCGACGACGAGATTATTCAATTCTCGGGTAAATCAATTCCGAAGTCGATCTCCTGCTCAACATATGGGACTCCGAGGACTGGCCCTCCTCCGTTCTTCGAGCGGCGGCGGCGCGGCCCTGCGCCAGCAGCCACAGGTCGGACGAGCGGTCGCCCAGCTGTCCGGCGGCAAGCGCCAAGGTCCTGAGGGGGGCTGGCCCCGCCGCTGCCGCGCGGCCATCGTCGTCGCCGTCGGGGGGGAGGAGATGAATTTGGAAATCTACAGAGTGAAAGATCTGCCTTGTTCGCATGCAGTATGTATCATGATGATGGTGCTTGCAATGAACACCGACGGACCCAGAGCGGAACGGAACGGACGATCACATACTCGCCGGAGCGCGGCCACTGTAGGAACGGAGCGGTGGCGCCCTGGACTCATCCTATCCAGGTCGGGTTGCCCGCACTGCTTGGAGTTCTCGACCCATGCCTCGCTGGTGGGCTTCCTGATCCTCGGCGTGAGTCGTTTTGCTGCCCTTGCGCACGCCGATGCTCGTTGGTGCATGGCGTGCATGATGATGCTACCGCCACGGGCACCAAGGGCTCGACAGTATGCCGAAGATAAAAGAGGGACAAACTGGCCCCAGGGAAGTGGTCGGGACCTTTGGGGCAGCGGATAGAAAACATCGTGTCGTCGCATGTCTTGGGAAGAGGAGGAAGAGGAGGAGGAGGAGGAGGAGGAGGAGGAGGAAGAGGAGGAGGAGGAGGAAGAGGAGGAGGAGGAGGAGGAGGAGGAGGAGGAGGCCCTTCTCTCACCTGGATGGCGTGCAACTCATGGTGTCGCCACCTGCTGCCTCCCTTACGAAGCCGCAGCGCTCCCTCGGACCCTTTTCCACCAGCCCGGGCTCACTTTCCTGCCCGGCTGGCGATCAAGCGAGCGAAGAGGAGGCAGAGGCAGGGGGACGAGGCCGTCGCCCGTCATCGGGGAAGGAGGACGACGGCGACGCCGCGGCGAAGAGGGCCTGGCACGTGGGCAGCGGCATGCAGGCAGCATGCTGCACTCTGCGACCGCAGCCTGTTTCCTCAAGCTCTGGACGAGCGGCCCGGTGCCGCGACGGTTCGAGCACTGGGGACAAAGTGCTGCTCGTCGCAGCTCTCGGTCCGACTCATCCCACAACCAAGTTTGGAAGATGAAAGTCCTCCCCCTCCTCCAACACCTCCACATCCTCCTGCTGCCCCCCCCCATCACTGGCTGCGCGCCCCTGCGCGCGAGAGCGCATGGGGGGGAGAGGGCAGAATCAGAACGGGCAGACTGAAAACAGCCAGAGTGAGGGGGCCGAGTGGTCTTACACCACCCCCAAGTGCGCGCCTGAAATGTGCTTCTGCGGTGAGGACTCTTGTCTGTGTTTTCGTCATCCTCGTCTGCGATCCGCCCGCACCCACCCGCGACCCGCCCGCGACCCAACCGCGATCCGCCCGCGACCCATCCAGTCTTTGAAATTCGGCGCCAGCGGCAGACGCGTTTGGCCATGCACCAGGAAAATTTAGCGCCTGCGGCGGGAGTCCCCAAATGTGCTGATGAGCCCCGCAGGCTGCGGATCAACCCGCCCTCGCCCCCTTACTGTCATTCGCAACCTCGGGGGTCGCTTGTAAAAAGGAAGCCTGGCCCTGCGAGCGGTCTCGGATCGAGGCAGAATGCCGTTCGGCCGGGATTGTCCACATGTGCTCTCGAATCCCGCAGACTGCCGCCGCCTCTCCCCCCGCCCCCTCACTGTCATCCGCAACTGCAAAAATATGGGCAACAATGAGACCCGGCACGGAAGAAGGTCGAGGGGGGGAGCAGCAGAGGATCAAGGAGGAAGGGGAGGAGGAGGAGGAGGAGGAGGAGGAGGAGGCGGAGGCGGAGGAGGAGGAAGTGGAGGAGGAGGAGGAGGAGGAGGAGGAGGAGGAGGAGGAGGAGGGAGGGGGGGGAGGAAAAGGGGAGGAGAAGAGGAGGAAGGGGGAAGGGGAGGAGGGAAACAATCGAGGAGGCGGAGGAGGAAGGGGAGGACGAGGAGGCTGAGAGGATGAGAGGAGGAGACGGGGGAGGAGGAGGAGGAGGAGGAGGAGGAGGAGGAGGAGGAGGAGGAGGAGAAGGAGGAAGAAGAGGTGGAGAAAAAGGAGGAGGGCGAGGAGGATTTGAGCAAACTCGAGCGGGACACACGGTCACACGGTCGACGGGCCGCACGCGACTTGCCTGATCGAGACGCTACCAAAAGTCGGGCCGTCCCCGAACCAGGCGTGGCAGGGTTGGGTTACACAGCCGTGAAGGACATGGCGTTCATAAGGGCTGGTTCTGTGGAGGGGTGCAAACCGTTCGACGACCGATTCAGCATATTCCGATCACATGTGCGCTACCAGGGCGGCGTTGCCTGAGCAGACTGGACCACCCGACGCGAACGCTTTTCGGCGGCGCGGCCTCGCGCGCGGCAGCGGGGCCTTGTAAACCCGGCGCGCGCAGTTTGCTGATGGCAAGCCACCGTGCTCGGTTTCGCCGCTCGTCTGGCGCGCAGCTCAGCGAGCGGCCACAAATGAACAGGTTGCCGCTGCCCAAGAATCCAGACGTGCTAGGGCCTAGCGCCCCCTCGCCTCGGTCCTCCACTCCTCCTTCTTCCCCGACAAGCTCGCTGAGACCCTCGCGCGCCCTCTCTCATCGGCGCTACCTGATGTCGCAGCGCCACGGGGTCAGTCCGACCGCTGGCAGGAATTTGCCAGTCACCTCTGGAAGAGGGCCCCAGCCATTCGCTGGGCCGCATATAAGACGTGTGCGGGAGCGTGGTGGACCAGCCACCGCTTCCCCTTCGGCCCGCGCCGCGCTTGTCTGCTCGGGTGCGATGCTTGCCCAGATCGTCTCGGCCATTACCTCACCTGCCCCCGCCTCCTTCACTTCTTCGCGTGACCTCGTTCCTTCCTCTCCTCGGACCCTCTCGTTCGCATCGGCCCAGGGGCGCCTGGGCAAAGCGCTAACCCTGAGCACGCCATCCCTGACGCTGTCCGCCGGACAACTGATTCATTTCACTTCTACAACAAACTGCGCATCATCACGCACGCCTCGCCCAGCGCCGCGATTCTTTACACTACTGGCACTGCGTGCCGAGCCGCTGCGCTGCGCGCGATGAGGCCGTACCCTGAGACGAACTGGAGCGGGGACGCTTGCCCTCTTTTCGCGTCTTGCCCGCTTGCCCTCGTCTCTTCCCTTCTTGGTACGGTCGCTCCTCCTCCTCCCCCTCCTCCTCCTCTTCCTCCTCGCCGACAATGACAAGAGTTGGAGTCCTCCCCGGGATTCGACCTCGACCGACCCTTTTTCTGGGTCGCCTGGTGAAAAGAAAGAAGGGGCCGAGCTTTCCCATCCCCCTCACCCCGCGCGGGCTAGCTCCCTCGGGCCGTCCTGGATTCGGGGGAAGACAGGGTCGACAAAGCCAATGAAACTCTTTCCTGCCGTGCGTGTGTGTGTGTGTGTGCGTGCGAGTGCTAGGCATACTCAGTTTCGTTTACCAATCGCCCCTCTCCTCCATGCGTGCCCAGATGGTTATGGCCGCCACTGGTTGCGACGTCCTTAAGCGGTCTCTGAGTGCTCGGCCGGGCGTAGGCGCGTGCGTTTCTCCAAAACGCGGGAGAAACGGTGGCCCGGATGCGGGCCTGGGAAATCCGCCAGGGTCAGTTCTGGGTTGAACTGGTCTTGGGCGAGTATTAAAGAGCGATGCTGTGGCTTCCAGTCAGGAAGCGCGACAGATACCGCGCGCCGCGCTGAAGCCAATGAAGGCGTGATCAGTGAGATGTGGGAGGACGAATGCGACCACGAGCGAGTACCGAGGAGGTCAACGAGGCGCCAGGAGTCTGGGGGGGACCTGGGAATCTCATGTAGGGCGCCACGTTTTTGCGCTTCAGAAACGTGGCTGGAAATGGAAAATACTGCGTGAGATACGGGAGGACACTGATAACATATGCGTGATATAGTTTGTGCGCCACTGCGGGGCCAGGAGCGCTCGCCGCTAATTGTACTGCGCGCAGCCAATAATCATCAAATGCGGATCCCCATTGGATGTCTAAAGTTACTGCTGGGCCAATGAGCGCGCCTAGATCGCGCGCGTATTCTGACATCTGAATGCTCTGCCACTCAGGCACTAGAAATGCTGAGAGGCATTGTGTGAGGGAGTGCACGACAGCTGAAAGAAAGGGGCCCGTAAGGGCACACTCGCTGTCTGCTGGATCTGCAGTTCGAGTCCCGCGAGACCAGCAATGCCCAGAAACGGGGAAAGGAGGAAAGGTGGGGCCCCAAGGCGAGCGAGGACAAGACCCAGGTCATCTGCGCAGGCGCCGAGCTTGTTGGGATCCAGCGGGAGGGGGGGTGGGGGGGGCTTGTTATCTGCGTATAACAGGAGCGTCAAAAGCCGGGGCCCAAATCGATCCCGAGAGAGGGGGGCCCTGGATAACACCTGAGCCCATTTCAAACATATATTGGAGACGGCAACCTACGCGGGCCCAGGCTCTGGGGAGCCAAGAAAGCATAAACGACGCTGAGATAGCCTGGAGGAACCCCGTGAGCTACCAGCGGTGCAAACAACAAGTCCCCTCCTAAGGATGGGAAAGCAGCTTTGATATTAAGGCCGGCAAGGATAGGGGGAGCATCTGGTGCCTCTGGGGAGTGACCTGCTCTACGGGCCTCAGAGTCTAAGGCCTTCTGCAAAACCATGTTGTGTGTCTATTGTCCGATCCCTGACCATGTCCACGAGACCCATATCCACGACGCGAGCGATCAGTTTGGCGTCGCAGTCTCTCAAGGAGAGGGGGCGAGTGGCACCTGGGGCTCGGGAGACGTCACGCTGGCCCTGGGTTTCGTCTCCTCTCGGAAGAAGCGCGAGGACCGAGTCGTTGAACTGGTGCGGGGCGAGCCTGGAGCGGCATGTCTGACCTTACGGAGGGCCCTCTGAAAGTCCGGAAGAACTGGAACCCGCAGGTCCGCGCAGTCGAACTTGGGGAGGCGCTGGGGCCTGCACTGCTGAGCCGCCACGGGGCCCACAATCTTGCCCGAGAAGATGGGCTGCCAAAACTTCTGGAGGCCTCCGAGGATGCCCTCTGGGGAACTGGTGGCGGTGAGGGGTGCTGTAGGTGCCCCCTCTTCCGGCATCCAAAATCCTGGCAGTGCGAGCCGACGGCGAAACGGATTCCAGGCCTGCGCCCGGTGCGTGAACTGCATCGCGGCCTTCCGACTGCCGGCCTGGTCCAGCTGCATCTCGGCGTTGGACTGTCGCTGGCGCATCGTGGCGAGTGCGATGCGCCTGTCGTCGTCGGCGGTGACCGCCGCGTCCGCGAGCTTTATATTCTCGTCCCTGTTCGTGAGCTCGGGGCCGTCGACCGCGAGGCGCAGGTGCGCGCTGCCGATGTCGGTTGCGGCCAGGAGGAACGACTCTGTGTCTGAATCCTTTCGCCAAATCACTAGTGACATTGCACGCAGAGTGGGTCTGCCATGTTTTGCCCAGCGACAGTGGCCATGAAGGGAGGCGCGTTGCTGAAGGTTGCGGGTGGGCCTCGCCACCTCTTTGATGATGAGCTCGCGCTGCTTCCCGGCTGCGCTAGGCGCAAGCGCAGCCTTGGAAATTTTGCCCTTCAGAAAATTGACGCGGCGCTGGTAGGTGGGGTCGTAGAAGATGATCGGGTCGATGGCTTGCTCCTCTGGCCGCGAGGCTGAGGCGTTGACCAGAGACAAATGAAGAATGGCGTGATCGCTGGGGCCTTTGTCAGATGCGGCCGCACCGCGTGTGCGAATCTTCAGGCGCGCGTCCACATTCATCTGGTCGGTTCCCCAGAGGGAGATGAAGATGCGGTCGCCTGCCGCGGCCGCGTGCGCGGCGGCCGAGAAGTGCGTGGGGAGGTCGCGTGTGATCTCTGTGAGCGAGGCAAAGGATTCGCGACGCCGCGCCGACTCTTACTCTCGCTGATTTAGTCCGCCAGGTGCCATAGGCCGCCAGCATGCAGGAGGATCCTCGAAGCCGCCCATGGCGATGAAGAGTCTGTGCTGAGACGCTGCTGCTGCCCAGTTCCGTGGGACATGCCGCGCCTCAGCCGCTCTGCCCATGTCTGCTGCCCCCAAATCATGGTTGCGTACGTTCATAATGAGCGCCTCGAGCCCCGCGGTGCGACTAGCGATTTGCAGGGCTGCAACTCGACCGAAGAACTGGCCAGACCGACGTTGGTGTAGAGGTCGGCGTTGGCGTCGGAACCAGAATGGCCACTCCCCCTTTGCCGCGGTTAAGGGGGCAGCCGCTGCAATGTGCTAAATAAGTGTGAAGAAATTTGCCGAAGTGCAATTCGAGATTTAATTGCGAGGCGCGTACTTCTCGCAGGGCGATCAGGGCCTGCTTGTTCGCTGTTCGCGCATGAAGGGGGTGGCGCGCAGTATCTTCCACCATCTCTTGCGATCGCCATAACAAACGAGGCCACTGGCACTCCGACCAATGCAATTGCCTGCGGCCTCTGAGGCAGTAGGTCTGGCAGTACTCCGCGTCGCTTTGGTGCGACGGGTGCGCGAGGATGTGCTGCTGGAACTGGTAGAAGAAGATTTGCTGCCGGAGCTGGAGGGCAAGCGGTGCCCGATGATGAGCTGAATCCTGAGGCTGATGCAGCCTGAGTCTTGTCGGTCTTCAATCCACGATCTTGTCCTGGAAGAAGAAGGGCTTGAGCTGGGCGATGCATGTCGCGGCAGGGGGGGGGCGCTGCTGCAGGGCTCTCCAGGCCTGGGAAGACTGAACTATGATCTGGAGGGCTCTCCAGCCCCTCGGGGACATCAGGGGTGCCCCGATCCCCGCGCGCCTGTCGTCGCGGTGCGGCCTGCGCAGGATGGGACTTATGATGCCGTGGAGCTTGCCCGATGTTCACGCGGAGCGCGCGCGGGAAGCTGCGGGGCGTCTGCGGCGGCAGGACAAGGTGGGGCCAGTTCAGGTGCTGGTCGAAAGTGCTGTAGAGGGCGCTGTCGCCGCCCCGCAGGTAAGTCAGGTACTGGAGGGCGCGCGTGATCAGCACCAGTTGCAGTTCTCCGCCATGGCGGCCAGCGTTCGCTGAATCCACTGCGCTGCATCCTCAGCTTTGCAGAGAGCAGCAAACTCTGCAGCGATAGTGGCCTTGTTGATAGGAGCCTTGCCCAGCGCATACTGGTTCCAACGACTGATGGTTGCCGCGTCCATTCTTCGGGGATCTTCTGACCCGGGTCAATCCAGACCCGGGTCAGCAGGAAACCAAAAACTGCAATGCAGGAAAAAAAAAACTGCAGCGCAGGTCCTCGCAAACCCGGGTCAGCCAATACGCGCGGCCGCCCCGCGGCCACGAGCGGCTCCCAAACCCGGGTCGGCCAGAGGGGGTCTTCGCAGGATCCTGCAGGATCTGGCGCCCTGGCTGACCCCCGTTTGCATTGACCCCCGTCTCAATGCTCCCGAATTCTGGTGGGCTCCTGTTTGGCGCCGGGGTGGGGCTTGCAGAATATACGCCCTGGGTCGCGGCGGGCGCGCCAACTCTGCGTGGGGTAGTGAGTCTGGCAGAGGGCAAGCAGCTCTTTAGTTTGAGTTTTCATTATGACGCGCTTGATGTTCTTGTCTGGGTTGACGTAGAGCGGAGCGCACTGGCCATTGTTCATGACATTGTTGGTAGGTGTCTGAATTGGGCCTGGTAACTGAAGTGCCCGAGCAAGGACCGCTGAATTGGTGATGGCGACCGAGCGACCCCCATGGAGTTGTAATATGAAACGCCGATCTGGTCCTTCTCCATGTATCTGAAACTGCTGCGGAACCACTTCTGCTGCGTTGAGCAACTCGGCGATGGCGATGCGATGGGCGGCGGTGACGACGGGCTGCGCGCAGGAGGGAACGGGAATAGCGGGATCTGGCTCGCGATCCCAGTCCGATAGTTTGGCCATGCCCAGTATGGGTGCCTCTGCTTCGCCGAAGCTGAGCTGCTGGCTGGTGCGCTGGATTGCGCTCTGGATATCCTGGTGCTGGGCGTATTGCCTTGCTTGTGCGGTCTTGATTCCCATGAGGTCTTGGCCATCCGATCTGCGAGCAGTAGCTGTTTCATGTCGCTGTAATGCAGCGAGAAATTGAGTCTGCGAGGCTGAGACAGCGTTGCCGACGGCTGCATTGATGGCGGCGAGCTGCGCTTCCATGCTCTGTCTGAGCTCGTGCTGAATACCTGGGGCGAGATTTGACTGTGGCCAAAGTGCTTCTGTAGGCGTGGCTGTGCTCTCCTCTGCTGGAGCTGGGGCTGGATATGTTGCCATTGGTCCCGAACTAGCTGCGGCGGCAGCTGATGCTGTCGTAATTTGAGAGTGCTGCAGAGCTTCGCGTCGCTCTCGTTCTCGCTGAGCTTGATGGGCTTGCCACTGTGCTTGCCCTTGGGAAGGGGAAGGTAGGAGCTGCCTCCGACTCTTGAAGGACAGCTCGTTGCCAAGCTTCTTGGGTAGCAGCTGAATGCAATCTTTGAGGGGCTCCAGATGCGTCGCGTCCGAGAGGTCCTTTAAAACGTCCACTATGTCATGTGTGCGGTTGGCGTTATCTTTCGGAAAAACAAGAATGGCGGCGTTTATCCCTATCACACAGGCGGTGTCGAACACAGTCGCGATCTCTGTCTCTCGCACTGCGTCATTCAAAAAGTCTGCGTCGATCGCGTCGGTGTCCACTGGCTTGGCTTCTGCTTTTTCGAATCGCTTCGGGAAGATGCTGAGGCTGAAAACGTGTCCATTCGGAAGTGTTGAGCAGAGCAAGACCACGTACCGCCTGTCCGATGCCACGCGAGAGAAGAACCAACCCAACGACATGCAATTGAATTCGTTGAAATGATAATAGTGCGAAGGAGGACTTCGTACTGCTGATATGGAGCGGCTCCGCAGGCTGGGCAGCCGAGACGGGCCTGTAGGTTATGGAAAAACAGGGCTGAACGGCCAGCTGCCTTGGGAAATGTTTTACTGGGGCCAAAATGGCCACGGAGGGGGAGGGGAGGAGGAGGAGGAGGAGGAGGAGGAGGAGGAGGAGGAGGTGGAGGAACGAGGAGGACGAGGACGAGAACGATGGTCGAGGAGGAACTGTCCGCCAGGCCGCCCCTTTTTTCAAGATCCCCCCCCCTGCGCAACGGTGTCCGCACCAGCCGCTCGCAACCGGCGGCCAGCAACCGCGCTGCCGCGGCCTCGGGACCCTCGGCCTCGGCGGCCTCGCTTGAGCCCGCCGCCGCCTCTGCGGCGGCGTCCTGCGGCGCGCGCGAAGCGCCAAGGAAGCCTCTTCCGAAATACTCCTCCCTCTCGGGCGCCGAGATCCGTACGGCACGTTCGTGTCGTGCCGACCCGGGCGTTGGCTTTTGACACCGTTGGGATCTGATCGAATCTAGTCTACTCTCGTCTCATCTCATCTAAAGCGGTCTCTGCGAGGTGGCCCTCCTACCGCCTACCGTGGGGATCTTCAACCTTGAACAATCGGCCGGTTACGGAACGTCTGACCGTTCAACATGGGTCAACTCTGGGTTGCCGACGGCGTTCAACGTTGAATTCAAAGCGGCGGCGGGGTCGCCGCCAATCGACACGGCGCGAACCCACCGTGCATATCCACCGCCCTGGGCCAGGCACATCCTGGGCACAGGATCGGTGTATGTGCCTCCCTGGCCGAGCCAGGGAGATGTATACACCGCTCCCATGCGCAGGATGGGCCTGGTCAGGAGCGGTGGATGTGTATGGACCTGGGCGCCCTGCCTTCGTCGACGGCACGCCCAGGGGGAAGTGAGAGAAGGCAGGCCTTCTGAGAATCGGGCACACCTTAGCATGGATTAGGGATCCGTGGATCTGGCTGGGAGCGACGGAGCGCGCAGAGCAGGTCTCAAAACCGCACCCGTCGCTAATCCACACGCCGTAATCCATGTCTGCGTTTCCTCGACGGAAGGCGGTGGGGGCGGAGAAGGTTTCGAAAGCATCTCAGAGGGCCGAAGGCCTTCTGAGCCTTCTGAGAAGGCCCGCCCCCTCAGCCTGCCGCTCTGGGTTCGCCGCCGACTTTGGGCGACGACGACATCCACGACAACGACGACTACGTCCACGTTGGCGGCGACTGGAGGTCCTGCTGGTCGCGCCCCTCCTCTGCTTCGTCGCGCGCGGGCGCTGGGACTTCCGGGAGGGGCCCCAAGCTCTTCGGGGGCGCCATCGGGCGACGAGACCTGCACGTACAGTGGAGGCCCGTACGGCAGGTCCGCGTCGTGTCGACCCCGGCGTTGGTTTTTGACACCGCAGGGATCGTTCAACATGGAACCTACCGTACACATGGAACCTGCCGTACACATGGAACCTCCCTCAGGAACCTACCGTACACATGGAACCTACCGGTCGACACGACACGAACCTACCGTACACATGGAACCTCCCTCAGGAAACCCAGCCCTGAGACCCCAGGGCGTCCTTTGACTCTTGGTGTGGGCACGTCACGCTCCACACAGCAGACAACCCTCGAACCCCCCACGGCACCCTGGACCCTGCGCCCCGCTGCCCGAACCAGACGGACGCGGGCGCCGCTCCAGGGCCTGGGGTGGGCCTGGGCGGGGCGACGGTGAACTGCGGGCCGAACTGGGCAGCAGCCAACGCCGAAGCCGCCAGCGACGACGACGACGGCGGCAGCGGCGACATCATCGACGATGACGACGACACCAAGGCCAAAAGCAGAGCTTACTGACACTGGCGGTCACAAAACAACCAACACCCATACGTGCAGCAACAGAAGGCGGGGTCTCCAGGCCAAGGCTCCTGCCTGGCCAGAGCGGAAGTGAGACGCACATGGAGGACGCAGAGGAAGCAGAGAAGAAAAGGACGGAGGACGAGGCGCAGATGTCGAGCAGAGCGCAGTCGCGAGCGAACGCAAGGCCGAGGGACGGAGCAGCGGAGTCGGGTCCATCCGTCCGCCCAAGGGCTCAGCCTGCCCTGTGGCTCGCCTTGGCCACGGCATCCTGTAATATCCCCTTGCCATGACATTCGTCAAGACAATGCTGAATAAGATCAATGGTGACATGTACACGTCGAAAACATTCAGATTATGTATACTCAAATCACTAAGAAGACGTCTTGACACCACCATCCCAGTGAGACCCTTCGACACATGAAAAACACACATTAATAATGTAATCCTCGTGCCCCCCCTTAAAACATGCGAAATATCGAAACACATGTTCGACATCGGGGCTCCATTCGCGATCTTCTCCTTGTGCCTTGGCAGTTGAAGTCGCTTAGCAACCGTACAACGAGAACACGAGACCTTACACTTGAAATACTCCAACAACGCCTTGGGGCCACCATCCCTGTGAGGCACTTCGACATGAATTTGGAAAGACGCAATAAGATGTACAATCCCCGTGATATCCTGACGAACCCCCAGCATCAACCATGTTCGGCATCCGCGCTCCTTTCTCGATATTACCCCTATTACCGTACTCTTGGAACCAACAAGGAAATGTACACCATTGAAGCCAATGCGGAAATCCACATTGAAAAAGCAATGAGAAGCCGTCTTGGGACAAACATCCCTATGAGACCCTTGAACATCTAGACCACAAGTTGAAACGTATGGATAAGACTGTGACACCTGCGACCACTAAAAAAGCAACGATTGTCGGTACTATCGCTTCCTTCCCGTACTGCGAAAACAAACAAGAAACTGTACACCTAAGAGCAGCCTACAGCGAACATAAACAAGAAACTGTACACCTAACATCAACAGCATAGACAATGAAAGACACTAAAAAAACGTAGTGGGACCACCACCTCTGTGAGAACCCTCAAAAGCCTAAGCAGCAATAGAAACGATCAACGGTAAACAATAAGGACCAACTTGTGTCTGCATTCGAGCTCCCTCTCCGATCTTTCCCCCTCTTTATCTCCCTTATTATAAAAGCCCTACGAGACTTTACACTTCAGAACAATAAGAAACTTACGCTTCAAGAATCGTTACAGAAGCGTCTTGGGACCACCATCCCCGTGAGACAAAAAACGAAACTAACATAACCAAATACGAACACTCCATGCGAATCACCAAAAACAATTAAAGCAACTCAAGCAAAGGTGTTCGGCACTCGCGCTCCCGCCCTGGTCTCCTCCCCACAATGAGAATCAATCAGAGACTTTACACGTACAAACCATATGACAATACATATTCCCCCAACAAAAAATGAAGCCGTCTTGGGACCACCTTCCCTGTGAGACCCTTTCAAACATCAAAACCAAACCAACAAGAAACGAATCACTGGGAGGCCCACGAGAAACATTAAGAATCAAGGGTCTTTCTCAGTCGCGCTTCCTTGTCGATCTTCTCAATACTCCCTTACACTGATGAAGACAATCAAACAAATTGATCTCATTACGTATTACACGGAGAAACAATACGAACACATCTTGAGACATCCATCCCTGTGAAACTTCGACTGTTGTTTATATTTCGGTATTCGCGCTCCCTTCTCGCTCTTCCCCCTACTCGCTTTAAGACAGAAAGTCACTAAGACAGCTCGCGGTCAGAAACAATAATGCAACTGACACTTAGAACAATGAGACAACGTCTGAGGCCCAACGCTCATTCGATACCCAGAAGATTTCTTGCTCATAGAAACAAAACAAAAACACGAACAACAGAAACACAATGATACTCCATGCTAACCCGCTGAAAACACTGAACATCAAAGATGGTGGCCATTCCCTTGCATTGAAGCCCACAGAGGCTTATGCACAAACGTTGTAAGACCAAATATTGGGATCACCATCCCTGTGAGACCCCGAATGCATATATAGATATATATATATACAAATATATACATACATACATGTATATATATATATATATATATATATATATATATATACATACATACACACATCCATACACATATACATATCCATATGCATATACATGTAGAGAGGTGTGGCTTTTCACAGATTGAACAACGAATCCCTGTGGGACCGGAAATTTTAATTCATTACTAATCAGCAAGGCTTCTGGCATTAGCGCTCACTACCGAACCTCCTTACCTCCCCCCTACTCCATTCTTTTCCGCAGAGGGACTGCTAACGTAGATAACCTTTGCTGTTAGTGTTTTCGGAGTCTTTCGCAGATTAAGGTTGTTTCTGTTGCCTGTGTTTTTGGGGTCTCGCAGGGATGATGGGCACAATCAACATATCACACGTTGCTTGATTATAGATGCGACTATCGATTTCCATCACAAGGGAGAAAGAAGAGAGCGGAGAGGGAGTGCGAATGCTGAATACTTTGTTGTTCAAGGTTTTCAGGGTCCTACATGGCATATCATAAGTTCTGTAGTTGCTGTTCCAGTTTTTGTTCAAGGGTCTCGCAGGGATGGTTCCAGAACGGCTCTGTGCTTTTAAATGTGGATTGCATCGCTGCCTCTAAATGTGAGATGTTCTCATTGCCTGTCATCGTGAATTGGCGGGTTGCTTGCAAGCGCAAGGGGCTGGAAACTGAGATGGGGAAGGGGGCGCGCATGCCGACAACCTTCGATTTACATAAACTTGCCCAGCAGGGATTATTCATACTTCTTAACAGCGAAGAGTATCACAGGGATGGTAGCCCCAAGGCATTGTCTTACTGCTTTTCATTGTGACTGTTCCTGTTGATTTGATGTGTCAATGTTATCATTGACTGCGATTGCACGGGGATGTGGACGGAGTTCGGGAAGGGAATGCGAACGCCGAAAACCTATGTTTATTGTTTGATGGTTTTTGCGTTTGGTTATTTTTTTCACGACTAATAGCTCCTTGGGCGTTCTTCAACCGTTTTGCAGTTCGGCTTACCAACCTAGAAACGATAAAACATGTGACAGTAGGTTAGCGCGTTTAGTTTATGCGCCTGAGCATATTATGCCCGTCGCTGTGGAACACATTGTTCCCTAAGCGATGTTTGCTTTCTTCGTCAAAGGCTGTTCCTTGTCTTTCATGCTGTCATCGCTCCCATTTTTGGTGTCTGCCGCCGTTCTCCCTCGCAGAGCTACAAACGTTGACACAAAAACGCTCCAACACCAGTCTAACGCCGCTCGGCACAGGCCCCGACACCCGATGGTCCTGAAAAGGGCAATCGGCTATCGAGCCTGGAGGCGCGACGCCCCCGGAGGGGCTCCGAAGGTGGCGAGCAGCCGGACTGAGGGAACCGAGGGGCTGAGGACTACACGCCAGAAGACAGAACTGAGGGCGCCGTAGATGGCAAGGTTAAACACTGCAG